GCGGTTATAAGTTCTTCGTGTCCACAATGGAGATAGAAGAAGACTACTGTGCTACAGCTAGATCGCAGTCAGAGCTCATATCTATCTTGATGAAGGAGCTAATATCTCATCGTCCGCTATGGCTAGTGGGATGGAACTGCTATTCATTTGATAACACATGTCTGTCATATAACGCTATCGAAAGTGAATATACGACGTACTTCAGAAAGGTTAAGATTAGCACAGCAAGTGTAGTCGATTATGGGTACATAATGGACATTCCTGGTATATATAATGTTGACCCTTTTGTGTACATGCAGAGAAGCCCATCTTTCATGTCAAAGTACAACAAGGATTTCAGTCTTTACGGTGTTGCAAAAAAGTTAGGTGTTACAGCAAAGACTGAGATGCCAGATTTATACTCGGACTTGAAACCACTTGATATTCTTGATTACAATATAGTACTCAAGTACGTGAGGGATGAGGCACCGGGCTCGGCCACAATATTGAACACTTGTTGAACTGTCGACGTTTGCAGATATATGACTAGTGTCACGGCGCGATGTCCTCTATCGGCCGAAGCTATGGCTATAGGGATGAAAATAGACTGGTCGGAGTGTGAACCTGTATCTGAATATAAGGGTGGTAGAGTACTAGAACCAATCAAGGGTGTTCATGATAATATCGTAGTGTGTGACTTCTCATCTATGTATCCAACCATCATGATAGATGCTAACATCTCTCCAGAGACGCTTGATATTCTAGAACCAGATGGTCATGAATATGGAGATGTGTGGTTTGATGATAAATATACCTAACACCGAACAATGCCATTGCAAATGAGGTACCGGGATGCTAAAGTCCGAGCATCTTGAGCCTGACTGTTGCTGTAAGAAAGTTTCAATATCTTGTCAGGAGGCCACACAAGGAGCGGAAGGCGGTCGCGAACAAGGCAGGGGTCTCGAACCAATGGGAGCCGGAGTAGCATCGTTCCACAAACGCAGTTCGAACATATTATCATGGCATAGATGCTGCTGTCAATCACAGAACGCCAGTCGATAACACAAACACATATGTATCTGATTTCAGGCATTGACAGGCATCCCCAGTAAGGTGCCCTCCAGGCGCAACTGGACTTTGACACATTCCGAACCATCGTCAACAGCAAGAGTCAATAGCCTAGAACAGTTAAATTCAGAAACGGCTCGTGGAACTAGGTACCGAATCCTGCTGCTTTACAGAGTGCATGGTCGTCATTGTCGTGAAAAATGGCTAGCATGTCCATATTGGCCGCTGTAATGCTATACATCAAGATGATGCCATGGGTAGACATCAAACTGGTCTTCTAAGAAGTGGTTGTAATCACCACAGGCCCGGATTATCCTTGATATTAGAGCCTATGACTCCATCAGCTAGCAAGGGAAACGACACCGAACGCGGCTAGTTAAAGTACTGCTGACCGGTATATATAGCTCATCTACGGACATCAGAAGCTTCAAGTCCGACAAGAACTTTTTCAACGGGCTAAAATAATCTCTAAAACAGTTATTATCTACGGATAAGATCGTCATGGATCACAGCAATGTTGATCATAGGCGTAATGGAAATAAGAAACTAGACCGTTCCAAACACAAGAACAGATAGAGGACACGAGACTCGCCAATTACTTTCCATTGATGTAGGTGGGCGAGCTGAATTTGGTGACTGGTATAGTATGAAGTAACCAACGGAAACATTTCTGAGCAGGAATTCCATCACCATGAATAATAGCGTCGCAAACGGCGCAGTTCTGTTTCGGACTTGTACTCTCGCAATCGGCGGTCGATGCATTGGCTTCCGTCGACGTGGCCCGCCTTAATGAAGAGCAAAAGTTAGCCGCAGTCAACTGTCCGGGTTTCTTCACACGAGGCACTCCGGGCAAATTTACAGACTTGGTGCCGGCATGCTCCGTCCCCTGGCTGCCCGGCGAGATCGGGTTGGCAACAAGGCCGTGCGACCTTGCCGTCGTGGACTCATGCAAGGTTATCGATGACTTGATGACAAACAGAAGAGCGAAGACTCGTCAACCAAGGACAAGGCGGGCGGGCCTCTTCTGGTGAGGGAAGGAGCCACCCGAGGACTTCAGCCACCGACCCTGGCCGACCCTGGCCGAGCCTGCCAATCAGAGACCCGACCAAGGGGCGATTATAAATGCTGCCTGACTAATTAGTTGCCGACGTCGGCTTGGCAGAAAAAGTCGTCATCAACGACCAACACCCCGGCACAGACGCTTCCAGTTCCAAGTTAATCTCCAGCATCGCCCTGCAACCCCATTATTCTCACAGCGATAGCACCTGGCCTCGTATCATGGCGCCTCACCCAGTTTTCATCGACCCCACGGACGATTTTGCACCCGTCCCCTCCGCGGCTGCGACCTCTGCGAAGCGCAATCTTCTTCTCGCCCCACCATCTGTCGCCGCTCACGAGGAGAAGCTACGTCAAGTCTTCACCACCTTTGACCGTGCCAACACCGATCTACAGATGCTCGATCGACTGTCCGCCGGCTTCGTGTCTCTACCCGCCACTACGTACGACCTAGTTCTCGTTCTCACCGACGCCGATGGCTCACGGGCCGCCGAGACTGCTCAGTTGCTAAACCGCCACCTATTTGCCTCGCTGGTCCCCGCCATGAGGGTCGGCGGCAAATTGCAGTTTCAGGGCGGTGAGCTGGGCGCGACCGAGTCCAGGGAGGCCGTTCTCTCGGGCCTTGTTGCCACGGATGGTGGATTCGAGAAGCAGGAGGAGGAGGCGGTCGTCATACCTTTGCGCTTCGGCAAGAAGAAGACGCCCGCACCAGTCCAGAAGTTTGACTTTAGCAAATTGGATGATGACGACGATGATGAGTTGATTGATGAGGATAATTTGTTAGACGAAGAAGATCTCAAGAGGCGACCCAAAGCGCGTATGTGCTCACGACATACTACAACCATCAAAGCGACACTGCTAACCTCGAGCAGCAACCGAGTGCCAACCCCAAAAGCGCCGCCGGTCTTGTAAAGATTGCACTTGCGGACTGGCCGCCAAATTCGAAGCAGAAGAGAAGGAGCGCCGATCGCAAGCCAACGCTGGCCTTGAAGCCATCAGGCTGGACGCAAACGACCTCAATGAATTGGATTTCACAGTCAAGGGCAAGACGGGCTCGTGCAACAACTGCTCACTAGGGGATGCGTTCAGGTGCTCGACATGCCCATTCATCGGGCTACCAGCATTCAAGCCGGGTGAGGAGGTGCGCATTTTGAACGAGGTGCAGCTGTAAACGTCAGGGGGAGCATAGAGGTCAGCGGCAACGGCAAAGGGCATGGCATGTTTTACGATTTGGACAAGGGTCTGGGAAAGATTCAGTCATGATGTGGCGTTTGGCGTTGAAATGCCCCAGGGCAGCATATACATGGAATTGATTTTTGCTAGTGTGTAGCCATCGAGGACTACAATGACATGTTGTCGCGTCACGCATTGGTTGAGTTAACCAAGAAAATTGGACTTGGGCGGCAACAAAGTTGTCCATTTGCGCAGCTTGACAATGCTTCATGTTGTGGCCGAGGTGTTTTATTCCCCCAGTGACATGACACTCTCCTTCTATTCTATGCGCTCAGTGAATACATGAAGTTGATGAGTTCCCCTCTATTTAGGCAAGGGCTGTCGGTCGTAACAAAGCTTGGAGCAGTAGCTCAATCTAACCGTAATAACACACTTTGGTTTTCAAAGTCCTTTGTCTCGGCAACATTCTTGGTACACAAAGACTTCATATCTCCAGTGTGATTTATGCCCTAGGTCTCGTTGTAATAGCCCTTGTATAACGGAGTGGCAGTACGGGCCATTCTAATATATTCATACAACTTGCAGGTCGCGTTGGGTCCGGCGGCAGGCGCTTACTAGAATACAATAAGCTCTCTGATGGAGCTGCGGCAGCCAGATGTAGCTTTTTAGCCCAACATGTATCACTGCATACTTGGTGTATCTCCATCCCAGAGCATGGCAGCATTAGATACGAGTCGTGCAAGGTAGCAAGAGCTAGCTTCCGGATGATATACCAAGACGACAGCTAACCTTGCGAAAGGGTTAGCCTCCGCTCTGTGGGAGTCAAGTGCGGCTTGTTGAGCTACAGCACATATGCTTGACATTCCTCTTATCGATGGTGTACCTGCATCCCTGACGCCGTCGGCAACTATCAGTTTATTTCCTGATCTTGTCTTAACATACAGTGACCCAGACGATGGTCTATAAAAGCACGAAGCTACTATCTTTGAGATTCTAGTCATATCACCTAAATTACCCTGGGATAGTTGCTGCCTTTTTACATCCTCCATGCCTCTTATAGATTCGAACACAAAGGAATCTCCAGTTGAGTCAGATATGAACCTTTGAGACATACCCGATACATGCTTGTCTTTATTTCTCGACTGTTCCCCCAACACTAACTTGCAGTTGTAATCTCTTATCTGTTTAGCACTTAGTGTTGTATATTCGAGAAACTTAGCATTATCATCATCGTCCTCATCTAAGATTTCATTGTCAAACTCATTCTCAGCACATATATCGTTGAACTTCTGCCTTCCAACTTGAAATGCAGCTAACGGTAATATGTCCCATGACTCACACTCTGCAATGGAGTCAACATCAAATACTGGATATATATGGGCTTCGTCACCATCGAAGTCTCCATGAAACATAGAAAAGGTTTCAGGATGTATTCCAATACAATCTTTATTCCAGAATCGTACCCTCATAGGTTGTGTATTTCCGAAGTGTAAAGATGGAGGTCTTACTACTATTACCCAATCTCCCTCTCTTATGTCTGTTTCAACATACTTGCCACCTACATTACCGTCTTTATCGTATACCTTTCTGCATACTTTCATACGCGATGCCAGATTTCGCGATATTGCGATAAAGGATCGTCCAAACTCCCATTGTGGAGTTGCAATAAGTCTTCCACTTCCAGCTATGGGAGTAGACATTATGATACGATACGTTCCATGCTTGGTATAGTTGGTCTCTTTGAGTTTGTCTATGTAATCTGCCTTATTTCCCGCAAACGCAAACTTAGATGCGGCGTGGTATTCTGTAGCTATCTCCATTGTTCGCATCGACATAGATTGTGGAGGCAGTATGATATTGTCTGGTGTTTCACACATATGGCCAAAGCATTGTACGTGTTGATGACATCCAGACTCATAGTCACTGATTGTATCAACCTTATACGTTCTAAACTTATCTCCGGGCTTAAACTTTGCGAATTTAATACCGGTGATTTTGTATACACCTGCAATGTCAGCTCCGTTATAAACACGTCTGTTAAATTGTTGTGGCTCCATGTTGATGGTTTATGTGATACTATAGCAACTGCGTTGCTAAAAGCGCTATACGCCAAAGAATCGATTGATTAGCTGAAATCTAATACATGTAATATGGACTCTATCATGGCAAGTTCAACGCATACCTCCTTTAAATTACTCAGCGACTGAGTTGCAGTGTGACACTCACACATTAAACTATAATACGGAGTATACATAGTATGAAATGTGCTACGGAGTAGTAGAACTATGCGCCAATGGTTGTAGATATCTATTCGGCGAGCCTAGTGAAGAGCTTTGTGATCACTCCGACGAGCATATATTCAAGCTGCTTGTAACCACTACCAGCGTCAAAGACGCGGGCGGTAATGACACCATGGTTATTGACCAGAAGGTTACACCCATCGGAGAACTTACAACAAATTCTCATCAAGACACACTTGATTATGGAATGGATGTTCAAGCCGAGATCACGCTTAAGAAATGTGATAATTGTAAAGATAAAGAATAGCAGCGAGAACCACTTGTTTTAAAATCAATTTCGATCGAGAACATCTCTAGAACTGTACAAGTTACTCTACTGGATTTGTATATACTTCAGAGCTTGGTAAAAGATTAACATTGAACTTACGGACTCTACAATATAACACATAAAGTTTTAAAATTACTCTGTCGCAGCATTTCAAAACTCATAATAATCGCTAATAGCAGAATGATTAAAAGGTAAAAATCCAAGCACCCATAAGTTCGTATGCATTCTGTCCCCAAACCAGTGGCTATCCTCTTCATCTTCAGCATACTGATCAATATCCAGCAGGCTCTCTTCTACATGAGATTGTAGTTCGTCCTGACCTTCAAGAAAAATACCTCTGTTACAATCACAATGTGTATTAATATCAAGGTACCCTCCGTCCTGGCAAATATGGCACTCGAACTTGATAGACTCCATTATAACTACATGCACTGCTAGTATCCGTTACAACACTGTTGTACGTTGTCGACTGTGATAAAGCAGTAGTTACACTTCAGGTTGTAGACTGAGGCAATAAATCAAAATGAAAAAGAGAACTAGCAGTAATAATCTTTAATCCGTGAATGATCACATGTTCAGAGATTGCGCTTTTCTGCTAATGTTCGATAGTTCTCTGGAAATCTCTGTTAGTTCCATCATGACTGTACTTAGTCTCGATGAC